GTCCCGGCGGCGAGTCTGTCGGATTTGTTGAGAAAAAGTTTTCACGTCGCTGTAATTTGAATTTTAATTGGACGAAAATGTGGTCTAAAATTAGAAAAATCGACTTAAATCTTTTTGCCGAGTGCAAGGCTCTTCCATTTTGAATTTATGTGTAGTCTATTATTAGTCCTTTTTGTGATTTTCGGTTGAGAGAACCCGGAAGAAATGAGCCCGCAATTAACGAAGTGTAAAATATTAAAACCGACCTTGTCGGATGTTCCTTTTTGCACACGACAAACCTTTAACAATTCATTTAGGCGAACCTGCTTGTGGTTAATGTAGTGAAAGAGGTTCTAAGTAAACATCTCCACTCATAAGTTATTAAGGACGTCTCTAGTCCTAGAAAACGTGCAAAAGTTCGCATCCGCTTCATGCAAATCAAATTTGAATAATTCATCATAATTTGAAGGAACGTTTAAGTTTTACGCCCCTCGGAGTACACACACCTGACAAACTTCCCCCGAGGAACTCGCTTTTTGTGTCAACCGTTCCGAAAAAACAATCCACGCTAATGAGGCACGATCGGGGATGTTTTCTTTTTCCGCCCTTCTTTAATAATGGAGGTTTTGCTCGGGATCTGGTGGCCCGGAGCTAATCAAAACAGACGACTAATTATTCTAATTAAAGTCTTGATTAGGAAAGAACGTCGAACGAGACAATTACTTAATGAGTCTGAAATGTGTTTACGCGTTTGCGACCGCGGGCGATGTTTTCTAAGTTGGCTTCGCGAAAAATTTTATTATCCTGCCCGAAACGTTTTATAAATAGCGCCCGGAGGGCGGCAGCAGGTAACTTCCCGCTAAATAGTTGCCAACCTAAACAACGGCTTGTTAGCAAAAGTTTGCCGCTGCGGTAATCATAATATTATAAATATGGATGGCGGCGGCACACGTAAAAATCGCCGCCCCCGCACCAGCGCCGCCGCCGCGCCGCGGTCGGACCCTCCCGCTAAATTAAACTCCACTTTTTAATGCGCGGAAACGCGGAGGAATTCCACAAGTTAATAGGAAATATTTTATAAATAATCTTTAAAATTTTGTTTGGGTAAACCAGAATCCACCGAAGGTGCTAATCCTCCTTTTCATCGAAATTTGTCAATGCGGACGCGTAATAGACAAAACGACGATTGTCTACTCTCTCTCCACTTTTCTCAATCACCCTAATACGAGCAAACATGTAAACTATCGATTTACACCGCCCCCAGTACTCGCAGTTTTATGTTTTTATTGCTCCTTGTCTCCTCCGCCGTTTGTTTACTATTGTTATTACCGCCATTGTCGCAAGTGTGTTATGACCGAATTTGCCGCCCCCGTCATCGGCGATCGCCCCCTCCCCCCACCGAAACCGCGCCCGCTCCTCCGCATCCTTTTACGACGCTCTGCAACTTGTTCTTTTTCATTATGCCCGTATTCATATTTCAGACATTAATTTCGTGTCGGAGGCTGCGGCGAAAACAAGTTATAAAACCGTCAAGTTGTTATCGGGGGCGGAGGGCCGTGTGTTCTCTTCTCCGGTTTGTTCTGGCGGTATGTCGGAAATACCAAGACGAAAGTCTTACAAAGCGTTTGCGGATTGTTGGCTGTATGCGCGCTAGGTAGTATACGAAACTTTGTGTGTGCCAGAAATTGGAATTCCGCAGCCGCCTTTGAACAGGGCGCAACAGTCTGCGAGATATGCAGAGGGGCGGAATTCATGAGCAGCATCTGGACGGAGAGTTGACGAGCATAGGCAAGTGCTCAAAGAAGCGCAGCCCTCTAGGCCAATTCCGGAAGTTGTTTGCTCCGGCAGACCGGAAAAAATTAAGACGATGAGGTTATGAGACCAAGCGCCGGATGCCGACGATGGGCAGCGGCGGCGGAGGGAGTAATAAGTTTGTGTTTTCGGGGTGACACATCTACAACATGGTTGATACAATTAAAAGACGAACTGGTTTGGGAGTAGCGTGAGTACGGCGCTGTTCGAGGTCTGACGACCGCCAACGTTGACCGAGGGGCTGTAATTTAACAAGGGGAAGGTACTAAAATCGATTTATACATTCGTTTTAAGTAAACAAATTCACGTGGAAAAAGCTTGGGGAACCTAATAATAATAATAATAATAATAATAATAATAATAATACTTTATTTCAACGCCAAAAATAGTTTTAAGTACATGGATTTACAAAGAAGGAGGATACATAGAGTAAAAAATACACACACCTATAATTACCTACATAAGAAGAAGAATTCGTAATTTATGTTTAAAAGAGTTGAATGAAGCATAACAAAAGAAATCAATTTCATTGTAATACAAGTTAGAAACATTCAAAATTTCATGTAAAGGTGAAGCTTTAACATAATTAGTTACGGCAAAATCAATATAAAATAGAGACTTAATCCTAGTCAGATGTTGGGGCACTCTAAATTTGATCATGTTAAGTAGATCAGGCACATCAATAAGGTTATTAAGCAGTTTATAAATGAAGCAAATACTAAAATAGGTTTTCCTAGTACAAAAGGTAGACAAATGAAGGTAAGACAGCATAAGCTCTAGAGAGCAATTTATATTTGAAGGTAATCTAAACTTGACAAAATGTAAAAATTTTTTTAATATCGAATCAATACGCTCCAGGTGAGTTTTGTAATGTGGAGCCCAAATTATACATCCATAGTCAATAATGGGTACGACTAAAGTTTTATATAAATGAACAATAGTTGTAAAATCAAGGAAGTCTCTTGAATACCTTTTGATGCATCCCAGTACCTTACTTGCTTTGTTGATAACATGATCAATATGAAAAGAGAAATTCAGCTGACTATCAAGAAATATACCGAGATCCTTAACACAGGGCACAGATTTTAAAACAGTATTGTTAATTAAATAACGAGGAATCGATTTATTTTTTTCCGAGTAAAGCATATACTGTAACATTTTTCCAAGTTTAAATTCATGCTATTCTCAACACACCAACGATATAAACTGTTAAGATCTGCTTGCATTAATTCAGTCACTGTTACTATTAATATTAAAAAAAAATTTTCAAGTCGTCAGCAAATAAACTGTAATTACATTTAAAATTCTTTCCAACATCATTGATAAATAAACAGAACAGAAATGGTCCCAAAATAGATCCTTGAGGAACCCCCGAAGGCACACATCGTCTGTCAGATAAGATACTTTTAATTTTAACCTGCTGAGTTCTACTATCCAGATAACTACCAAACCATTTAAGGAGAGGGTCAAAGACTCCGTAAGCAGCTAATTTTTGTACTAAAATATAATGATTGACTTTGTCAAATGCCTTACAAAAATCACTATAGACGGCGTGAACCTCCAGACCATTACCCATGGATTCAAGAATAGAATTTACATAATGAAATAGATTAGTGATTACAGAGCGCTTTGGAAAGAACCCATGCTGACATGGAGAAATTACAGATTTAAACAAAGGAAATAGTTTCTCTAACACAATAGATTCAAACAGTTTACTTATAGTAGATCACAACGAAATTGGACGGTAATTATTGATACGATTTCTAGCACCATTTTTGTATACTGGGACTACAAACGCGTGTTTCCATGTATCAGGGAAGACTCCTGATGAAAGAGAAAGATTAAATAAAATTTGCAAAGGCAAGACAAGAGCTTCATGACACATTTTTAAAAATTTAGGTGGCAGTCCATCAGGCCCGGGTCCCTTATTGACGTCTAACTTATTAAGAGCATTTTCAATTTCAACAAAACTAACAGAAATAGATCCAAAATTAACAGACTTATCAGGTAGCAAAGTACATTTCACAAAATTATTGAAATCAAATGCAGTAAAAAAGTATTCATTAAATGCTTCACAGATGGTTTTATCATCACTTAAAATATGCAAGTCCTGAGATAACATAGGCGAAGGTGTATAATTAAGTTTAGATTTTTTGCTAACAAATTTCCAAAAATTTTTGGGATTAGACTTGAGATCATTTTCAATGCCAGCTAAATATATACTATGAGCAATCTTAATTTCAGATTTACAACGTTTTCTAAGAGCTTCAAAAGTTAGGAGATCACAATTACGATTATACATTTTAAAACGTTTATGCACTATTTTTTTTTTCCCTTATGAGAGAAATCAAAGATTTCGAGAACCATGGAGGAAACAAATTATTTACAAATTTCCTTTTAAAGGGAACAAACAAATGACAAGCTTCATATATGTACATATAAAAAGTTTCAACAGCTACATTAACATCAATACTAGTAAGGACTTGATTCCAGTCAATGGACATAAAAAAATTTAAAACTCTATTGTAACTAACATTATTGAAATCATAGAAATCTAATATCTGTGTAAAAGCAGTTTTGAACACAAAAAATGAATCATGAATATTATTATCGTATATAGGTTATTTTGATATGTTAATTAATCAACGAATTTATGAAACAATTGCGAAATTGTTGAATCGTAAGTTTTAGCTATTAAATCATAAAATCGTGTTTCCAGCACAGCATTTCCAAAAATTAACTTGTACGCAAACCCTATTATCAATTTTATATAAAAATGGGAAAATGTAAAATTCCCGTGCGTCCCTTTTCATATAAAAACCACTTTTATCTTGCTCCGAGCAATAAACGTTATTACCTGCTCACGAAACCACTCATCCATTCGTCAATACCGTTAATTGTCCCCGCCCGCCGTCCCCGTCCCCGTAAAGTTGATCTAATACTCTTCTTAAAAATAACGATCCTCGCTGAGCCTTAATTAAAAGTAATAGCATTGTGTGACGGCATTAGTTTATATCCCGGCAGAATTTAATAAATAAAACTTTGTGACCGGAAACGAAATCGACTTTATTTCCTCTCCGCTCCTCCGATATAACTGTTCTATAACGATAACGGCCCTCATCCGTAATTGTGCGCCGCTCTTCGCTCGAAACACGGAAGTCGTGTCAATCATCTTTATCGTACCATTGCAAGTTCCGTGTTTGTTTCAGATGGGTTGGTGATGAACAGCAGCAGCGGGACGCTGGGGCGTCGCGGGCTGAAGGGCTCGGCAGGCATGAGACGTCAAAGGAGCTTGGAATGGCGGCAAGAACGCGGTTACAGCTCCAGCGAAGAAGAAATTCCCACCAGACCTCTAGACAGCCACGTCTTCGCATCCCTGTTGGCACAGGCCCAGCAGGAATACTCGAGTGAGTATGGCGAGATGTAGTCGCTGATCGACGTGTCAGGATGCAAAAAATTAACCGCGAAACGTACTCGAAGTACATTAAAATTACGAGAACGGAAATACGGGACTTGAAAGACACAAACCCTCGGAGGGGGTAACTGTCACATTCTTTTGGCAGGTCGAATATTTTTAATTTCAACCGGAGCATTATGTTGGCGCCCGAGCAACCGGCCCCAGGGAAGGCGCCAACACTCGCGTGTGAAAGTGACCCTTGTTGATGTTTTGCGACCAACAGCTGCTAACCATCGTTTTCCCATAGTACAAACTGAATAATTCAAGTTCTTGATACTCACTTTCAAGCCAAGTAAATTTTAAACCGAAAACTTGCGACGTGTGTAACTCAAACCCATCGCAATCGCTTTCATTAGGCTTGATTATGTCGGCCCGAAAATTCCGTCGTAAAATCGCGTCTCCTCGGCCGCCAAACACGGCAATCAGCGTGTACATTTTCCGAAGGGGCGTTTTCGGCCTAAATCAGCCCTCCTGCAACAAGTGGCGTCATTAGACGCACAACAACCGAACCAAATTGGGCCGCTTCATCTCCCGTTTCGGTCAGACATTTGCATACTGGCGTCATCATATCGGGCCTCGCCAATTACGTTCGTCGGTTGCAATAATTGATTCCACGTGTGAATTCGTCGTTTTACAGCAGTCACTCCAGATGAGCCTTCATCCCCATCGCAATGAATGCATTAGCGCTCGCTACTCTAATTAGGACGAACGTTAAATGAGCCGACGCCACTGTTCGCATTCGGCTTTATTGCGTCGCTTCTAATTAGGCCTGGTCTGCACGGTTTTACCGCCACCCCCACGGCCTACGGGGTGATGCCGTATCGATTCGACCATCTCGGCTGTAAATTAATCAACACGTGTTTGCAATGTCCGGCCGGAGCGGCGGCGGACCGGTCTCCGCCGGGGGCGGGCGGCTGGCGGGCCGCGGGACGAGCGCCGGGGGAGATGGAAGCGAAGTCCGCAGCGATACGGACACGTCATATTAAAAAAAACAACAGCTGATGGACCGACGAACGGTCGTTCTACGGTCATAGGACACAAAAATATGGAGGGATCGTGCAGCTCGCTCCGCGAGCTGATTTATATCGCTACTTATGCGATGGGGTACTAATTTAAATTTAATGAAATAACGTACTCCTCCATGCTAGAGATGAAGATTTTTGGAAAAAAAGTCAAAATTATTTAAAAACGTTTTATAATTTAACTTTGAAATCACAAAATCGAATCTTTTTAAATGTTGCAAACGTTTTAAGGTTATCGGAAGCATGGTAAATCGTTAATCAAAATTTATCCGTGTTCATGCCGCCCCCCCCCTGCAGGAGTTGATGATGTCATCGTATAATTTTGTCGAATAAATGTTATTTAAATGCTAAAGTGTAACAGTCCTGAACTTGTGGTTTATGAATCCGTGTAGATATTGAAGGCATCGGGATTTCTGGGGAAAAAACAAATTTGAATAACAATTTTTCGATTTTTCGGCGTTTCAATTTTTCTGTTTTTCGATTTCCAATTTTTCTATTACTCAATTTTTCGATATTTCAGTTTCGGGATTTTTCAATTGGTCGATTCTTCAATTTCTCGATTTTTTCAATTTTCGATTCCTCGATTTTTTATTTTTCGATTTCTTAATTCTCCGATATTTCAGTTTTACGATCTTAAAATTTTTCGATTTTTCAATTTTTCAATTTTTGGGGTTTATAGATTTTTGATGTTTCAATTCCTCGATTAATCAATTTTTTGATTTTTCGACTTTTCGGTATTTCAAATTTCCGATATTTCAGTTTTGGGATTTTTTAATTTTGGCGTTTTTCATTATTTTGATTTTTTGATGTTTTGATTTAATAATTTTTCTTTTTACAATATTTTAATTTTTTGTATTTTTAAATTTTAGATTTTTCACTTTTTTGATGTTTACATTTCTCGATTTTTTGATTTTGGACGATATCGATTTCTCAATTTTTCGGATTATCGACTTCCCGACTTCACGATTTTTAGATATTTTGATTTCTCTATGGTTCATTTTTCAATTTCCCTATTTTACACTTTTCTCATTTTTCAATTTTTCGAATTTTCGAGATTTCAGTTTTGGGATTTTTCAGTTTTTCGATTGTTCAATTTTTCGATTTATGAATTTTCAAATTTTTTAAATTTTAGGCTTTTTTCCATTTTTAAATTTTATATTTTCGATTTTTGCATTTTTCGATTTTGGGCTATTTTGATTTTTCAATTTTTCGATATTTCGACTTCTCAACTTCACGATTTCTAGATGTTTTTGCGATTTCTCGATGTTTCAGGTTTTCAGTTTCAACTTCTCGATTTTACCATTTTTCGACATTTCATTTTGGGTTATTTTTCTCTTTTTCAATTCTTTCATTTTTCGGTTTTTTAATGTTTAGATTTTTCTTTTTCGAATTTTCTAGTTTTTTGATATTTTAGTTTTTCAAATTTTTTAATTTTATATTTTCAGGTTTTCCATTTTCAATTTTACGATTTTTTGATGTGTCGATTTTGTTTAATATTTGTTTTTGATTTTTTGAATGGGTTTTTCCACTTTTAAAATTTTTAAAATTTTCGTATTTTGCATTCTCGATTTTACAAATTTTCTATCCCTTAATTTTTCAACATTTCAATCTTGGGAATTGTTCAATTTCTGGATTTTATAAATTTTTTGATGTTTTAATTTCTCGATTTTTAAATTTTTCGATGTTTTAATTATTTGATTTTTTAAGTTGTAAATATTTCGATTTTTCTTTTTTCACATTTTCCGAATCTTCGAGATTTCAGTTTTGGGCTTTTTCAGTTTTTCGATTTATGAATTTTTCAATTTTTTATATCTTCGATTTTTCGATTTTGGGCTATTTCGTTTTTTCAGTTTTTCTATTTTTGGACTTCCGAACTTCACGATTTCTAGATCTTTTTTCGATTTCTCTCTCAGTTTTTCAATTTTGAATTCTCGATTTTGCTATTTTTCAACTTATCGATGTTCGATTTTCCGATTTTCCAATATTTCAGTTTTGGAATTTTTCAATTTCACGGTTTTTTCTTATTCGATTCTTTAATTTTTCGGTTTTTTAAAGTTTTGATTTTTCGTTTTCGGGTTTTCTAGTTTTTTGATATTTTAGATTTTCGGTTTTATAAGTTTTTCGAGTTTACGATTTTTTGATGTTTCGATTTCCCGATCTTGAATTTTTTAATATTTATTTCAATTTTTTGATTTTTCGAATCGGTTTTTTGGTTATTAAATTTTTTAAAGTTTTTTTTTCGTCAATTTTTCAACATTTCAATTTGGGAATTTTTCAATTTTCGAATTTTTCAATTTTCGAATTTTTCAATTTTTCGATGTTTAAATTTTAGATTTTTTGATGTTTCGATTTTTGGACTTCTCGGATTTGGATTTTTCGGTTTTTAGAGTTTTGATTTTTCCATTTTAAAATTTTTCGACATCAATTTTATCAATTTTTTATGTTTTAATTCCTCGATTTTTCAATTTTTCGATGTTTTAATTACTGGACTTTTTAAATTGTAGATGTTTCGATTTCTCGATTTTATCAAGATGTTTTAGAACAAATTGTTTTTGGACTAATTAGGTTGAAAGGAGGATTATATGACCCTCTTGACGCTTTAGATTTTAAATATACATTGAGAAACTTTATTTTGGGAAGAAATGAAGATTCTATGTCAGAAGAAGCTAAAGTTGAACTCCAGATGACTCAATAAGCAACATTGGAAAAATTTTATTAAGCGGTAAATATCTTTCTTCTTGGACTAAGGAAAGTAATACCAGTCAAAAAAATGCTTTTGATGATAGGGTACATTTGTCATAAAATGAGACTTACAAAAAATCTTTGTTATATAATTCAAAATCCATTGACTGTCCTTAATACGGAAATCAAATCATTATTTTTCAGTTCACAATCTACTTCAGGAAAAAAAATTTAAACAGGTATTATAGGAAAGTAAAAATAATTACTAAGCGAAAAAGAACATTTTAAAAAATTGTTAATTAACATGAATATTACAGTCCAATAGTAGGTACATTGCATATTATAGCATTTATTTTTGGCGGTTATTAAAAAATTGTGAATTGTGTCGAAACCATTTTTTGTTCCATTGAAATAACATTAAACGTGAAATTTTAATATGTTGCAGACAATAAAAATGCATACAAAATACATAACGAAACTACGTTAAATTTGTATTTTTTAAAATGTTTAATGCACAATTATAACAATAAGAATGAAAAATATTGGTGATGCCTTCGTGCTTTTTTACTGAAATTCCTAGTCCTATTCCCTGAGTGACGTCACTGCGCGAAGTGGTCTCATTTCGAGCCGCACGAGTATCACACCTTTATAATTATTCTATTGTGGCTGATTGACATGGGTACGTGTCACGACGCCATCAGATGGTGACACTTTTTATCGTGGAAGAGATTCAATAGAGCCATAAAAGATTGTGCAAAAAGGCCGTGGAGTTTTGAGTCTTTGGTAGAAAGCGGGCGGTTAATAAAATTTGTCGGAATCTTTCCCCCTGCTCTAGTTAGTTATCTTTCGCCATATTTTTATCCGTCGAGGTAGTCTGCTCGAGTTTCGTCTCTGGCAGGCGAGCAATTACTGCGTCGGTTATCACGTCTCAATTTCATGAGAGCGAAATGTGAAAACCACACACGTCTTTTTGTGTTGTTAGAAGCGCTCACTAAAACTTGAGCTTTTACGCGTGGAGTGAACTCGGATATGGATGGAATCTTGGTAAACTTGTTAAATCTAATCCAGCTCATGTGACGCACTCTGAATAGAAAATATGTATAAGATTCGGTTGTTCGCGAAGTTTCCCATCGGAAAAACTCCGCACCGCGGGCAATTAAATCGGAAAATGTAGACTGCGCCGCATTCCCTCCATTAAATTTGATGTTCGGCGAGAAAATCTTTAGCAGCGACAATAACTGTTGTA